CAAAATCTCATATATATATATATATATATATATATATATATATATAAAAAAACATGTGGTATAACTAAGGCACATAACCTCAGTTTTCAAACTCTGTCTCTTAAGTCTTTACCTCACCAGTGAATCTCTCATGTGCTTGTTTTGCTTTTAAGAATATCAGATATTTCCCCAGCCAAAAGATATATAATGTATTGATTAGTGTTTTACCTATTTAGTTGTTTAAAGAATTTCAAAGCTATCATCAGAGTTTACCTTACTTTCTACATTTGCTAATGTTTTACCCATGGATCTGTGTGTGCCCATCCTTAAGTAATAGGCCAAGGTCTCCTGTTATCACTATGAGGAATGAAATCAGGCCAGCTAGAGGGGCCACTCCAACACTGAGGCTATGACAATTTCATTGAGAGCAATCAGACCTTTCATACTTTTATCAGAAACAGAATATAATGGCAGTTTCCAGGATCAGTATAGTTGTAGTTGCCAGGACACAAAGACATTTGCAAACCATACAGAGCATACAAGATTAACATCTAAGAGCATCCTCCTATCAGCCTTTCATGCTTCCTTGACTACTAAGGGATCATACAGAGAAACACAGAGCAGCCTGAATGCGTCACTGCCCCCAGGAGCCACGGACTTAATCTGAAAATCTCTGACACACACCTCTCAAGGCAGCTTGGCCAGGTCAACTCCATGTTTCCTTGCAATAGTTTTAAGGCTATAAATTTCCGCTGCAAAAGTGGCACATTATATTGTGGAAGAAAGAATATATTTTATCTGCTAATATTATTATCATGAGTGGTAAACTGGTAGAATTTTAAAAATTTGTGAATACAAATATTCACAAAATATAAAGATTCTATTTATTTAGATTAAATAAAATACTGAAGAACATTTTGTACCAATTAACAGAACACTGGAGCTTTCTAAATTGATAAATTAAAAGAAATCTCAATGAAAAAAAATCCATTTATGTAAGTAATAAAGTGAACTTATCTTTTCTGCTTGTTTTTACACATGAAATTGCTAAGTAGAGCCTTAATAAAATGCTTTATAAAATATCAAAGTAATGAACATTGTTTTTTTTCAGATAATCTTTACAAAAGTACACAATACAGTATATAAGCAGAGTATTTATGATATACTATTCCTAAAACACATACAGTGTGAGTGAAGCACATACTGTAAAATGTAAAAAGTTTTGGTTGTGAGCCTAGCCTGTAACACCTGAGCCATATCACATCAACAAATCAAATAATTCAATTAGAAGATAACGTACAGATATAAACAGAGAGTTCTTAAAGCAGGACTCATTAATGGCTAAGAAGCACTTAAAGAAATGCTCAACATCTTTAGTCATCAGGAAAATGCAAATCAAACAATGTGGCAGTTTCTCAGAAAATTGGGGAATGATTTACCTCCAAAGCTAGCTATACCACTCCTGAGCAGATGCAAAGGGTGCTCCTCCATTACCACAAGGACACTTGCTCAACTATGTCCCTTGAAGCTTTATTCCCAATAACCAGAATTGGAAAATAACCTAGATATCCCTCAACTTAAGAATGAAGAAAGACAATGTGGTGCATGTACACAATGGAATATAACTTACTTGTTAAAAACAATGACATCACGAGTTTTTAAGGCAAATGGATCGAACTTGAGAAGGTCATCCTGAGTGGGATAACCCAGACCCAGGATGACACTAATTGTATGTACTCACTTGTAAGTGGACATTATCCATAAAGTAAAGGATATCCACGGTACAATCCAGACCAAGAGAAGCTAAGTAACAAGGCTGGGTCAAGGGGGATGCATGGATTTTCTGAGAAGGAGAAAGAGATTGGACATCCAGGGTAAATGGGGAACGAGAACTGTATAGGGTGGGGATGGGAACAAGAGGGATCTGGTTAGGCGAGGATGGACAGAGAGACTACTGGGAGAGAAGCCTGGAATGGGGATGGTCAGCCCTCTGGTAAGCTAGATACCCAGGACAATGAAAACTCCAGGACTCTATGAGTGAAACGCTAGCTAAGACTCCAGGAATGGAGGATATGGAACCTGAACCATACATCTTGGGTAACCAGGAAAGTCTTCCTATAGATTTAAACAACAATCTAGCCACAAAATCTTCCACCTAAAATTTGTCCTGCTTATAAGATGTGGTGGGATAAAGGTGGCTCAGAAATTGTGGAATTGGCCACAATGACTGGTCCAGCTTGACCTATGACATGAGAGGGAGCCCACCTCTGACACTGCCTGGAGGTCCATTTAGACCTAGGATAGAATCAACCACTGCCTCCCCCCCCCAAAAAAATAAAAAAATAATTCCTAATGTTATTCTATTATACTGTTAGAATGGTGCTTGGACAATTGTCATCAGAGAGGCTTCACCTAACAATTGATAGAAACTGATGTAGAGACCAACTGCCAAATATTACGTGAAGCTTGGGGAATTCTGAAACACAGGGAAAAGTGGGATTGCAGGAACCAGAGGGGTCAAAGATACTACAAGAAAATCCACAGACTCAACCAACCTTGGCTTATAGTAGCTTTCAGAAACTGAGCTGTCAACCAGGGAGCCTGCAGGGGACTTACCTAGGTCTTCCACCCTATGTTACAGTTCTGTGGCTTGGTCTTCTTGTGGGACTCCTAACAGTGGGAACATGAGCTGTCTTTGACACCACTGCATGGCTTTGGGACCCTTTCCTCCTACTGGGTTAACTAACCTTGCTGCAATAGGAAAGGGGGTACCTAGTTTTACTCCAACTTGATATGCCATGGGTATTTGATATCCAAGTGAGGCCCGCTCTTTTCTGAAGAGAATAGGAGAAGGAGTACTTGGGGTTAGGGGAGAGGGGAGGTACAGGGAAAGGACTGGAAAGAAAGGAGGGATGGGAAACTGTGGCTGGGATATTAAATAAATAAATAAATAAATAAAACAACTACTTTATAAGTAATCCTGTAAAATGCACATGAACCTCAGGGTTTTGTTTTTTTTTTTACATTTTCAGTTATAAAAATAGAATTAAATGTTAGTTATACAATTAAAATGTTAAGTTATACATTTAACATATAAAGAAGATGTTCAATCCAGTACAGTTTTCTACTGAGATGTAAAGAGGCCCAGATTATCCTTGGAAGAAAAAGCTGAATAAATTGAAAGCTAACTTTTACTCAATCAGTGAGGAAAATGAACTAGCAGAGCTACTGCCTGGATGAGAATATACAAAGAGGACATATGATGGCACTCTTAGATGTCTGTCTGCACTTCCTGTCTGTATAATTTATAACATGAGGAAAACTGTTCCAAATTCTAAAATGTTATATAAACTGCCATATCACAAAAAATCAAACATCACCATTAATATAATTTAACTTGTCCTTATTTTTCTCCTTCTAGTTGGAATTTGTAGAGTACAGCATACAGAACTGTGCTATCCTTTCATTTGTATCTAAGGATCTTGGACTGTTCACTCTTTACCAAAACACTTTGGATAATCTGTGGGTGCCATGGCAGCTCAGCAGGTTGAGTGTACATATGAACAAAGTCCTAAGTTTTGTACAATGCCACGGAGGTATGCACTTGTATTCCCAATATTTAGGAGGCATAGGCAGGAGGATTGTTGAATACATTTTGTTCATCCTTGGCTCAACAGTGAGTTTGAGGCTAACCTAGGATACATGAGATTCTAAGTCAAGAAAAAAATTTATGTGTGTACATATTTACATATACACGTACCTATGTACATAAGCCAATGATACTACACTGAACCAAATGTCTCCTTTTCTTCCATGCCATCCCAAAAAAGTTATGAATGAATCATATTAATCATACTCCCAGATCTTTCCACTCATCCTTTTCCAGTCTCTGTCTACCTAAGACTATATTGACTAGACCTGTGGGAATGGCTAAGCAGTAACAGGAGAATGAGTAAAGTGTCGTGGAACATCTGGATCATTACTCCCTGGCATTATGCCTGGAGAGTATTCAGAATGTCACACTCGAGCAATAGCCAATCTAGAGCACCAAGGGTCAATGCACGTACTGCAGCAGTCCTTTCCCGCTGGCTACGTCTCTTTACATCTGGTGACTGAATACTTTTAGCTGTCTAGTTTCTGTGATTTTGTCTTGGTACTGACTGTCATGGTTGTCCATTGCACACTGTTCTCAACTTTCTATCTTGTCTCAATCTTGTCATGTGCTTCTTGTTCACAGTCTATGGTAATTTTTATGGGGGATCCTCTAGAGAAGCATACAGTTACAAAGATGTTCAACAATAAATCTTGCTGTGAAGCTTTTTTATAGATGGGGATGTCACCTGCAATCTGACACCCTTCACCTGAATTTTCTTGAGTATATAGGTTAAAACAAATCAGCTAAGAACCCTAAAAGTACAAGTTTCCCAAGAGAAGAAACAACGGGAACAGCTGACTCACATATTTCAGACCTCCAGACACACAAGCATGTGGACCAGTTCCTTAAGGTAAACACTGTGTATGTGCAGATGTACATATGTGCACAGCCACTTTACTGAATCTGTTTACTTAGAGAACCTGAACAGGGCACGGTTTCCTATTTGTTTTTTGCCTGAGGCTTTGGATTGATGCCAAATTGGGATTTAGATCTCTAGCACCCAGATTCAAGGAGAGTGTTGGTGCTGTCATAATAATGACTGACAATATTTTCACATCTCATCTAAAAAGTTAGTGTATAAAACATATTTTTATATCAAAAATCCAAAACAATAAATTATGATACTAGCTTTATTTATGCAATCAACTAAAATAAGTTTTAAATAATCTTTAAATAGTGTTTTAAGATACATAAGACATATTAAATGTATCAACAACTTAAATGTGAATATCCAAACTTTAACCCAAACTGCAATATTTCTAATCACAAAAAAAATCATTTTAATGTCTAATATCAAATCACTATACAACTTTTTTAAAATAACATTAAGAACAGAAAATGGTAATTAAAAAAGCTACATTTGTACCTTTTGTTTTTTTGTGTGGGTGGGGCAAAGAAGTGCATCCATGTCACCGTGTACTTGTAGAGGACTGAGCACCCTTGTCAGGGATTGGTTCTCTCCTTCCAGGATGTTGGTTCTAGGGACGGGATGTCAGATGGTAGTAGGCTTCGTGACAAGCTCCTTTACATCCTCAATCACTTCATTGTCCAGAGAAAAAGCCATTTTGAGGCAATAACTATGCTATGTTATATATCAACTTTTTAAATTCAATTCAAAAATAAAACAATTATTAGAGAAGTCATCTCATTTCCTTTAATAGAGGAATATAAAATTTAGTGATATGAATTAAGCCAAGTCAAAATAGATAATAGGTAACAGAGGGTTTTGATTTTTGTTTTGTTTTCTGTTTTTTGTTCTAAACTCATATTCATATGTGCATGTTAATTAAACCATGACTTTGACTGAATAAAAACCTATTTCACTTTTGTAATTTGTGACTATGTGTTGATATCTTTGTTATTAAAGAGCAAAGGCCAGTATCACTCAACTTTTCAGAACCACCTGGATAAAGCATTTAGATGACTAAAAATATTGTAAAATGTCAATATCTGAAGTTTAATCTAGATTTCTAAAGCAGGAAAACTATTGTCAACTATCCTTTAGTGTCTTAATCATGGTCTGCTTAGTTTATTGCAAACACCACTACTGAGAATGAACTGACAGTATGCAGAGCTAAGTCTGATGGCCACAGCATGAGGGGAACACAGCGGGCCTAAATAGTGACTGCACTTATTGCTATCACTACATTGGTTATAACAAATATAAAGCTTCTATGTTTTATAAAACTAATATCATGGCCACGTGATGTGGTGCAGGACTTTAATCCCAGCACACAGAAGGCAGATGCAGGCAGATCTCTGTGTTTGGTACTAGCCTGGTCTATACAGCATATTCCTGGAAAGCCAGGGCTACACAGAAAAACCTTGTCTTGAAAAACAAAACAAAACAAAATGCAAAACAAAACCAGAGTAAGTAAGAAAAAAAGTAAAATGTATGTCTTGGACCATCACAGCAAAAGCCACTAGCAAGAGGAGACCATTCTTAGTGTCTTTGGTTATAAAAAGAAGATGGCAAGCTATCAGACAGAAAAACAAAACATTAAGCCAGGAAAGTCAGTAGGCAAGCCTAATAGGGAGCTTCATTCAGAAATTTTTAGACACAAAGTTGATGAGAAAGGAAACTGAAATTCATGCAGACAGACCAATTCCTAGTCTATTGGTCCCGAGAGAGTCACTTTGATTTTGTCCAGAGACTCATCAAATTATTCCATCTCCCATACATCACCAGCTACAGATATTATCTTACAGGAATTAAGTACTAAACGGTCTAGCTTTCCTGAATGAACACATGCCAAAGGGCATGGATATCTCAGACTAATGTCAAGTGAATTTTGGAAACTGAATAACAAACTCCTATGAAACATCATGTTTTCAGTTTTGGAAGTTAGTTGCCACATTGCAGGAGGGTGGAGTAACAGAGGAGGGAGTCACAGACCATGCCTCCGCCCCTATGAATAAACCCAGAGGAAATACCGATGAGAACAGGAAAAAAATACTACTTAGAATTATAAGAACAGTTTTCTGATTGTAAGCCTGGATTCCAACTGAATTTATTACTTTTAATTTATCAAGGCTATTGTAATGAAACCAACAACCCCCTTTGATTCATATTAATTTGTTGCACAATATTGTACCACAGCCATTTTAATTTTTTGGCTGGGTATTTTACAAAACTACGAACAAATCAGAATTGTTCTGGAAAGAGGCTTACTTTTAATTCCTTTGTTTATACAACATAGCAAGTCAAAACAAGCCATGAAAAAGATGATAGAGAGACTCCAAAAACAGTATAATGATCCATGTTTATTTTCACAAAAGCCATGATTTACTCATTTGCCCTGCCTATTCCTCCATGGCATTGTTGTGCTAGACCCTACCTGTGCATTTCTGAATTTTAATTCACGAAAAAGTATTTGGTTTTAGAGTCTGGTTATCAAATGTACCATTTATAAATCCAACATCGTTTTTACACATATAAGATTCTTTGTTTGATTTCAAGGGCTGGTGGTCAACAAGGACACGTCCAGGCTGTTGCACTGCACAGTGATAGTGGGGACTACATGTGTAAGTTCACGCCAATCAAAACACCTGCAGAGAGGTATGAAGCTCACTTCTGCTATTGCTGACTGATGGCATCTGTGGTGAGAAAGTCAGGTTTTTCTTCAGGGCTGCAGCCTCTGAAGGCTGCTTCTGCTTCATAGATGGTCCTACCCCCATGTACATAAAGGCACCCCTACCTAGACTTAATGGATCTAGCAGAAACTAGCACATGAAGTTAGGAAGGGAATAGAGGAAAGGCTAGGCAAAGGCTCTGTGGTAGATTTGATTAAAACATATTTGGATAGAAAACATTTTAAGGTTAAGAAATTAAATCTGAATCTCCTACATGTGATGTCTGGAGGGTCAAGTTAGGTAAACTAAACTGTAATACTTTCAGGTACTGTGTTCTCTACAGATACAAGATTGAAGGGCTTCTACGTTAGTATGCTACACTATTAAGATTCTCAATGGAGAATGGGAATATACTTTTTTTCCTGAATTAGGACATAACTGTGATAAAGTTTATTACATATCTTACCAGGCATTATTGATTCCACTTATTAGCATAACAATTGAATATGAAATGAATAAATGATCCATAAAATCCCTCTTCTCAAAGCTTGTTCATGAATAGAATCCTCAATGCTTAACTGTATCACTCTGTCTTAAAAGTCCCCATGTGTTTGTTTGAACTGCTTGCACTTCTTATTTTCCTGTTTTGAACCATAGCACCTTACTATTTCTCTGGCTCTCCAAATCTAATTGGATATCAATTTTCATATTTCAATATTAATCTAAAAAAGAATCATGAGAAAGATCTGACTCGCACTGGGGTGGGGAGAAGGATGAGATGATTTAAGATTCTGAATTACAGGACAGACAGAGTGCTTCACGAATTCATTTATGTCTGTGACGGAGGGTGGGTCCATGGAACATGTATCTCATGTCTTCCTTTCTGATGGCAAAGTGTAGGCAAATATGAGCCAACTTATTTCACATTCAAATTACAAACCTGAGTACATTTACATGTCTAATGAATCAATAAAATAAAGTAGATTAGGAAACAGAAATCAAATCAATCAGAAAACAGACTCAAAGAGCAGTCTTCACAGAAAACAGAGTCACACATTAAAATGTATTTACACATAGTTTATTGCTCTAATTTTTGATAATTTTTCTAAAGAGACAAATTCTGGAGAATGACAGTGCAAATCATTAAAAAAATTAAGAAATTATTAAGGATTCTCCAAATAGATAATACAGAAATAGAAGAAGGGGGAATTATGACAACCCATTACACACATTGGGAGGATAGAAGAAAAAGCAGAGAAATCTCAAGATCCTAGGTCTACCTTCAGTACAGTAAAAGAATGCTTGCTTATGAGATCTTGGTTATTAGTGTGTGAAACTAACTAATTTTCAATGTTCTCTACAGTTTACAATATTCAGTTACAAAAATTTTCTAACTTCAGCAGGTTATAAACCCATAATTTAGATGTGGCAAACTGTAAGTTACTGTTCTGCTAAAAGAGGCAAAGTCTATGATGGAAAGAGACACTGCAAGTATAGTGTTTTTCTTTTTAAAAAACTGTATCAACTACAAGGAAAATAAGAAAACATCAAAAGCTACAGAACACTTGTGGCAGATGTAATGGTCTCAGAGGCCAGTAGATAGAAAGGAGGTTGAAGGAGTTTCTGAAGAATGTGGTGCTTATCCTACAGTTTGAGGAAAGGACATGGGCCAGTGTGACACAGACCTGGAAAAGCAAGAGGAAGTCTCAAGCAGAAATGATCATCTGCCATTGGAGGAACTTGCTGTAGTCCAGTGCTACAGATGACGATCATTTAAACATGGTTCATAAAGACACTAGAAAGAGATGCCAACTCAAATGCCCAAAGTTATACAAATGTATGAAACTTGTGAATGAAATTTACAGAAAATTAAAGATTGAAGAACAGCAATATGGCTTATTGAATAAGGGTGTTTCTGCCCAGACCTGGTAGTCTGGGTTTGATCTCCAGGACCTACACGGTGAGCAGAGAAAACTTGTGTCTCTCAAGTTGGCCTCTGAACTGCTCATGTATACTGTGGCATGTGCCCCCCACACACACAAACAAAGACACAATTAATGACTTTAAGTAAAAAAGATAACTATCTTCTCCAAAAGTAAAAAGACTTTAAGTAAAAAAAGTGAATATATGCTCTCAGGAAAACAGTTGGAATAGTTAGTTGCCACTGTATATGGGGACAATCTTCTACGTTTAAGAGGTCAGAATTCTCCCCTTTTAAAGTTAAAATGTCAATGCCAACTTTTAAAGAAAACACAAGGAAATGAGGCTAAATACAGATGTGCACTTTCTGCTAATGGCCTGCCACTTTGCAACTTCCAAAGTAGAGTTAGGCAAAGCCAAGCTTATGAAAGGTTCTGTGTATTAGCTAAGGCATTTGAACTTTATCTTGAAAACCATAGGACTCATTAAGAGGTTTGAAACTAACATTCTAGAGTACTAGTTGAGTCTGCAACATAGGAAATCTGGGAAGGAGCTATATAAGGACTTAACACAAAACAGTGATGAGCACAGAAAGACACAGGTTTGGAAGAAGTTAAACAAGGTACAAGGTGAGATATGTGACACAATTTAAACTTGAAGCCTGGTATTTTAGTTTTATCTCAGTATTTTGATTTCTTCTGCCATATATATATATATATATATATATATATATATATATATATCCATCCATGATTATTTTCCTATATAGTCCAGGCTGGCTTAAAATTTGTGATTATATATGTTCATCTCTGAGCAAAGTTAGAGATGTCTTTTTAAGGAGAACATTGTATAATGTATCAGGTGCCTGGATGATTCTGTAAAAACATGAAAAGTTATATAGTTCAGGTAAATAATGTATTAAAATAAGCTCTAAGGAAAAAAAACACACTGCATGGTGACAGAATGCTGAAGAAGGCCCTTCAAA